TCCTGCACATCCAAGTCAAGTTCAATCTGTTTTTATTAACCCTTAAACATGCGTTTTTGTCACTTCTGTCGGGGGCTTTTGAGTATCTCTTGCTCGCATTTAAAAGTGCTTACTCACTCATCCATGCAAATAAGCAAACAAAGTCCTTTAGAGAAGTGTTTTCCCATGAAAGCATTTCCACCCAAAAATTAGACTTTTACTGCTTTAGAAATATTTTTCACTGATTCTTTCAATACACTCTATCAATGTAGAACAACTTAATATTATATATAAATCTTAAGCTATAGAGTCAAATACTTCAATTCAAACACAAATAAGGTTAATATTTTCGATTGATAATTATAAAAGGAAACAATCATTTATGGCAGATTTAACTATTTTTTTAATACTTGACATAGCTAGAAGCCTGGAGAGCCGCAATCGTCTTCACTCCTGGCACTAGCCTAATAACCACGTCGAGGTGCGTGACAGCGTATTTTCGCTCAGTATATAATCCAATAAATCAAAGGGGAGATAGTTAGGTGGTACAGTAAGTATCCCTTCTTTTTTTTATAATAAATTCTAGTTTTAGGTGGCTTAAAATTGAATCCTCCTTTCCCAAAAAGCGGTTTCCTTTCTCCTTTTATTAGCCGCCACTAATAGTCAACCGTAGATTATTAACTCATTTCAGTCACCTGACGGAATGGATTTCTTCAACAAAACGCCCTCTGTGTAATAATAAGAAAGGAAATAGGAATAAGAATTTTATGTATAAAAATTTGTCTTTCGACGACATTTAAAAATATATATATTCTTCAATTTTCCTCTTTAAAATTCCCTTTTGATAAACATTTTATAATTAGCGTTGACAATAATTATAAATATTTTTACTTGTAATTTGTTAAATGCAGCTACACATTTATGCCTAGGTAAAAACGGAATTCTTGCCCTTATCAGAGTAATTGTTTGTATTCTTTGTTTTTCTCTTACTAGAGAGAAATTAATAGTAAATTCACTTTCTCTCGAAATAATGGTATTTTCCCCCTTTCCTTAAATTTGCTGTGAGTAAGATGCGAACATGCAAACGTTTTTCTCTACAGACTTTTCATTTCCGATACCATTTGCTCAGAAGGAAATTTGCAAGCCGTTACGTAAAGATTTCAGAGATGAAACTGACATGATCATTCTTAATTCAGATATGAATCACAATCTTTCTGAATTCGCTTGCCAACTGCAATTTGCTTAAAGCATTACCCTTATTGTTTTTCGTTTTGAGATTTTAACTATTCTTCGATGGGTGAAAGGGAGCATCTTCATTTCTTTTTATCAGTGTTCGTATTATTTGTCCAGGTATTAACGTTTTAGTGTAATATTTCCGTTTGTTCCTTTTTTTTCATTTTGACCGTATGCCTGGTCCTCTCCCATGACTGTACATATCTGCTCGCGAACTATTACTGAATACTCCATTGCGACTCTTTTCTAGAGGAATGTTGATTCAAGCGCTTCATGATCGAAGAGTTGGATTGAAGGGAGCCCACAAATACGCGATGAAGCAGTGTGTCATCAGTGGATAATAGTTTATCGGAAGACCTGCATTCATTTCAGGAGCCTTAGATTGTGGTAATTCGATCTTCCTGGATGTGAGATGTAAGCCGAGAAAAAGTAATCACTGCTAAAAGTTACTTTTCAAAACAAATAACTCAAACATTTTCTTGACAAAATCATGAGAAAAAAACCCTTATGCCGGATAATAAATTCTTAATACATACAAAAAAGTATAAACAGGAAAATAATATTGTAATTTTTAAAAAAGTCCTTAAGGAACACATTTATTTAATCCTTTTTTTTTTGTAGCTAAAGATAACGTTAACATCACCTCATATTTTTTTTTTTATTTTATTTTATTTTTTTTTTGTGTGCTGCTTTTTTTATCCCTTCAGAAAGTCAACACACAAATAGAAATGTAGACTGATTAAGTAATAAGTAGCACAGGTTACATTTTTGAATATTTTGTTTTCTCTAGAGGGTCTTAGTTTCTTTTAAGTAAGGAATTGACACGTACACAGCTGTAAAAAATCAATCCATTACTTTTTTTACAGTATGGTGTACAACCCCCAATAGTCCTAGAATGGTAGTAATTCGAAAAATCTTTTTGTATGTATAATTATTAAATAATGTTGTCCAAAGATGAAAAATTAGAAATCCAATCCCCCCCCTCCCCTTAATAGTTTGAATCGAAGGTCCGGAAGACGATTTCATGACGATTCAAAAGAGAACGCCGCCTCTTGAAGCAGAAAAGGCGAAGGGTCATTATTTAATATTTAGGACATTTTTTTTATCGTCTTCTACATATAGAGTCTGATTAGAAGAACTAAGGACCTGGAATCAAAAGCAGTTTTGAAAACTTATAATGTATAATAAGAGCCATTGTATGGTAAAGGCTAGCATACATGAAATACATTGAGATCAAAAGTCCACTTGCTCAGGTGTCGACCTCGTCATTTGATCATGGATCACATTGGATTTAATTGATCTTAACATCGCATTTTGAAGCGTCTTAAGGCTATTGTCGAATGGACCTCATAATTTTAAACCTCAATCATGAAACAAGGACGGCACTGATCTTGGTTCAGAACAACGGAAATATATAAATTGCATTAAGTATCTTTTGAGTCCGATAGAAATGAAAAGCACGTAAGTGTCTAATTAACTATACATAAAATATGTCTTTTATTGCTTATTTATTTTATGAATTTCTTATCCCAGAAACCGAATTATTCTGATTGATATTGATAGCATTAGTATTGAATTCCTTCTAATGGATATGCTGAACTTCTTGCATATTGCTTTTAAGGGGTAGAATGATACTCCCCTCCCAAAAGTAAAATTGTCCTCGAAATACATTTTAATTTACCTGTATGGCACCTCAAACTTTTTTTCCCGTCCGACCGCTTTCTCTCACGAAACTAATTTCCCTGGAAGTAGAGGTATGTAAATTAAAAATACGAACTTAAACATTTGTTGAAACAAGAAACGTAAAGGAAATTATTTGAAAAGAATTATTTGGGTGGGAGGGGAATACAAACAAATCTATTATTTAACCATTCACCAAAGACAAATAAACGTATTAATGAACTGGCTGTACATGTTTACTTTTACATAAAGAATTCAATTTTGAATAAATATTTTATAACAAATGGAAGAAAATCGTTAACATTTTGCAGGGTTCAGTCATTTTTCTCTTTTATAAATTATACTATTTAAAAACTGTTTTAGCATAAATTCATAAATCAAAATTTGCAAAATATTCTTTACGCCATTTTAGAAAGAGATTAAGACTATTTTAATTAGAAATTCTGCTCTATATTTAAAACTAAAGATTTTTTTGAAACTCAGATCTTAAAATTTTGTTGCTCGAAATTTGATTGATTTTTCTTTGAACGTTAAATGGTAAATAATTGGCATTAATCAGTTTTTATTTGAGAATGTATATCACCAGCCTATAATTTTTCTAACATCAAATGTTCAAGCTCCGTGTTTCTGAAAATATTTTTTCAAACGGCTTAAAATTGTCAATTATCTTTCAATATAAAGTAGTTGGAAAATGTATTTTGAATACTGAAAAAACCTATAGCTACGTAATTAAAATTTCTGCAATTCAATCACACCACTTCAAACTGGCTTGGGCTCTATAATTTCAGAACACATATTATATGCATACAAGAATGAAAGCATGTAAATTAAGGCATAAAAATACCCTAAAAATAACAAAAATTTCGAAAAAAAATATCTTATTTGCATTTTTCTATAGCCCATATACATGGAAGCTTGCCCAAATATTTCAGATCTGCAAACACATTTGATTTAAAATATTTGAAGCTTTCTGAGTCTAGATTTTATTTTCGGTTTCATTTTAAACCATTTTTGCATTTCTAAATTGAATTAATTAAAATTATTGTTGAACACATTTTTTCTATGTGAAACGGCTGTTAACTGTAATTTTCATTACTAAAACCATTTTTGTTCTCTTATGTTTTGTATTTTTTGAGTTCTCTTATAATTACTTAATTAAGATTGATTTCAAGACCAATATTTATTTTTACACATAGTTTATATACGAGTAACTTATAAGCATTTTACTTTGTTTTCATTAATCTTTTCATTAGTTTTTATGATTATTATTTTGAGTATAAATGTTTTTTGTTTAATAATTTTGGGAAAATATTAGCTTAAGATAAAGCTGAATAATCTATCGTCGTAACAAATGCTATTAATATTATGCAAAAGCATAGTTTGAATTTATGAAATATATATATATATATATTGAGATTTTTTCAGTCAGAATTAATTAAAGTAGTGTTATGATAAAGAATAAAAGTTGGAAATAACATATTAAAAATTACGACTTTACAGGCATTATAAGTTTTGTTTTATGCCTTTACAAACTTTAAATGCGTTTTTTTCAGACTTTTAAGTTTGAAAATGTAGGTGTTTTCTAATCCCTAAGACTTTTTTCTGTTCAAGATAGAGTCTTGAAATTTTTGGGGGATACTCCCAAACACACATATGTTCTATAAAATTCAGACGTATTTATGTCAGAGAGCTTTAGTTATTTTTTTAAAAAATCTTAAAATTAGTATTTTAAAAAAATTGTGTTTTTGAAGTTATACTTCTTTTGGGGCGTTAGAGAAATAGGATGAGGGTGAATTTTTACGATGCGTAAATGCTCTTTGTCTAGAAATATGCTGAACGCTACATATCATTGCCGCCTCCGAAAAATTTTCAGGAAAATATTTCTCTTCCCTTACCTGAAGAAGGGAACACCCGGGATTGAACCGGAGACCTCTCAATCTTCAGTCGAATACTTTACCGCTGAGCTATACATCCGCGACAGCGAACCTTTGATTTGCGTTCCGTAGGAACGGATACGAAAATGCTTTGTCTAGAAATATACAGAATGGGACAGATCATTTCCGAATTCGAAATTCTCAAAAAAGTATTTCTCTTCACTTCCCTGAAGAAGGGGACATCAGAGTTCGAACCAAGGACCTCTCGACCTGCAGTCGAATGCTCTACCACTGAGCTATACCCCCGCGTCAACGAACTTTTGCTTTGCGTTCCTCAGGAACGGATACGAAAATGCTTTGTCTGGAAATATACAAAATGGGACAGATCATTCCCACCTTCGAAATTTTAAAATATATATATATCTTCACTTCCCTGAAGAAGAGAACACCCGGGTTTAAACCTGGGACCTCTCGATCTGCAGTCGAATGCTCTACCACTGAGCTATACCCCCGCGTCAGCTAACCTTTTCTTTTCGTTCTATAGGAACGGATACGAAAACGTTTTGCTTAGAAATATACAGAACGGGACAGACCATTGCCGCCTTCGAAATTCTCAAAAAAATATTTCTCTTCACTTCCCTGAAGATGGGGGCACCCGGGTTTGTACCGGGGACCTCTGGATCTGCAGTCGAATGCTCTACCACTGAGTTATACTCCTAGCCCAAAAGCCCACGACTGCCAGACCTTCGTTATTTTATAGTAGCTGAAAGTTTCTCTGCAGATATCACCAACACAGGTAAGAACGATCAGCGAGTATGGAGTTTGGGTTGTGGTTACTTGCGCAGGTAACAGGTAGTAAAGGTGTATAAAATAGTACTTCAACTTCTATAAAGTATAAAGCTCAATTTTTTTTATATTTTCTTCGGAACAACATTAGAAATCACGTCATCCATTGCCGGAACTTAGTATAGTTGCAACCCCCTGCCAGACACCCCTTAACTTTAAAAAAAAATTATACTTTCGTTATAGTATAAAGGCTGAATTTTATATATGTTACTAGGGGACCTGTAAAAAGATGTTACCTCAAAAGCCGGACAGTTTTAATGGTTTTTACATCTTGCCAGACACATTGAAAGTCTGCTGCAGCTGTGAGTGTAAGGCAATTGTTCAAGCGGCTGCAAGTGAGATAGGGCGTTTAGTCTATGGCAATCGCTTAAGAAATCCAATGAAAAAATAGTTTTATTACGTTTATAAGCATCTTGTATAAAGTTAATTATTACTAAGTACAAAAAAAGTATTATTATATGTAAAAATCATACATCATTGTTGTCGTTATTTTCATCTTCGTCACTACTACTCCAGTCCGTGGCTTGATTGTCATCAATATCGCTTTCATGAGAGATACATTAATTTGTTCCGTTTGTAATAAAAGTGATGGTAAAATATTGTTTTCAGAAACATTAAAAAAATGTCGAACTGTTATGAAAATCAGAAAATGGCATAACACAAAATACAAAGACATTATTTTGCCTGACAAATATATAGACAATTATTATCACCGGGAATGCTATAAGGCATTTACAGGAGTTATGGAAAAATAGTTAACTTCTAAACCTGACAATACTACAAAAAACAGTGAAAAACAAAAATCAGCCCCAGTGTACCTACCTACAGACAATAGTTCTCCAACCACGCCGTTGATACCTGAGTTGACCACAGAACCATCTAATTTACAGTATTTAACTACAGAATCTTTTCAATAACATCCCACAGTCAAGTTTAATTTCTGATTCAATAGAACTCCAATCTACAACTTCTCAAGAAAATATTAAAATTTTTGAACCAGATGTTAGTGATAAATAATGATTCAACTCAGGATGCAAATATTCAGATCGAAAATGATGCTAGTACTAATGACTATCAAATTGTTTGTGTGTTTTGTAACAGGGAACAATATATAGCTGAAGACTTACATCAACATTGCATCCAGGTTACCTAGGATCTTGCGATAGCAAAAGTGGCGTTTCAAATACAAGCTACGGAAAAACGTGAATTTAATCATTTATTTATGCGTCTAGGACCGTTCCACATTATGAAGGCTTATTTTAAAGCAATCGGTAAGGTAATTAGTGACTGTGGGTTAACAAATGTTAATTGAGAGTAGTTTGCTGGCAAGTGGTTCTATGAATGGTTTTCTTGATGGAAAGCACTTCAACCTCTACAAAAGATTACATCCTCTAGTAGCATTGGGATTGGAAGTTCTAAATTTTATATAACTTTTTACAACATGATAATATAACATTAACAGATTAAATGATAGAGGAAGTGAAAAGACTACAAAACTGTGAAATATCGTCATTTCACATTGAAAATGAAGATCTGAAAGAATTGATGAATAATTACAATATTTTCAAGCAACGATGCCTCAATAATGAGTTTGGTAAAACTTCACAATTTTACTTGATTTATATCAATCTGAAACATCATTACTGGGACCTGTCATGGAACATTCGCACTGGGGATTTTGAATTTTTCATATATCAACATTGCCTAAAATTACAAATGATGAAGTGGTGCCATTTATTGGCAACAAAATTATACACATAAATTTCAGAAAATGTCATTCTTTCACTATTAATGAATCCAACAAAGTTGTCTCAAGAGTTGATGAAGAGTTGTCATGCCCAGCACATGAGAAAGCAGATACAAAGATGGTATACCATGTATGTAACATCAAGTATCCAGCAGAAATAGTAATCAGAAGTATTGATACTGATATTGCTGCTATAATGCTTGGTAACATGCACCCCCTTAAAAATGATTCGGTTGCTTGGATGCTTACGGGTACTGGAAATAATTTAAGATATGTGGACCTAACCAAAATACACGCAGAGTTGGGTATAAGTTAATTTGCCATAGCTTACCTGAATATCATGCCATCACAGGATGTGATTTTAATCGTGCGATCTTCAGAAAAAGAAAATTAAAACCTTACAAAACATTAAAAAATTTTCCAAAATACCAGGAAGCTACGGTACGAGCGAATTAATTGAAAATACAGATGAACAACAAAACGTCTTTAATATTATTCAGAGATTTATATGCAATGTATACAATGCCGGTAATGTAATTGATGTTTGATGCCGCTCGACTTAAAATGTTCATCGACTTGTATACAATCTCTGAGGTAAACTAAGCTTTTGACCGAAAGAAGTTGCGAAATTTGACGCTAGCAATCTACCATCTTGCAAAAGTGAGCTATTGCAGCAGTTTCTGCTAGCAAACTATACATGTACCATTTGGAACAATGCTCATTTGAAAAATGTAGCCACATATTAATCAGACAATAATGGCTGGGTATTGAAAAATGATAAATACCATTTAAATGGTTTGAAGGGGATCAACTACCAAGTTATGTAAGTGATTCATTCAAAACTCAATCAGGTATGAAATTAATATGTTAGATTATTGTATATAATTTTTTAATTATTCATAATTGTATAAACTTGCTTGATTTTGTTCGGAAACTGATGGAGAAAACGATATTGATGACAATCAAGCCAAGGACTGGAGTAGTAGTGACGAAGTTGAAAATATCGATGACAATTATGTATGATTTTTACATGTAATAATACTTTTTTTTGTACTTAGTAATAATAAAATAATATTTTTTACTTTATATAAGATGCTTATAAATGTAACAAAACTATTTTTTCATTGGATTTTTTAAGCGATCGCAATAGACTAAACGCCCTAGTGTAGTTTTAGAAAGCTCAAAAAATTCAAAATTTGAACTAAAAAGAATGAAGTTGTCAAGATCAGAGTCAATTTTATAATAATAGTAACAAGTTCATTATCAGTATTAATAACCGATCATATAAACAAAAGGACGTTATATATAATGCAGTACATAACAATATATAAATTCCTAAAAAACCTACTTTGAACATTAACTTGCATTTTTGCAAATACTAAAAATGCGCTGGGAAATTATATTTATTATGCCTATCCGGTATAAGGGTTAGCGACGCTGACTGCTGGGGTTAGCCCCGGACAATCGGAGAAGATATGATGTTTGTAATATAAGTGCCTTCGCGGCATTGGGGTACTTTAAAATAGCCGTCGAGCCGCAAGTCCTCTCGTGAGGTTGCTGGGTGCCCTGCTTCTATTTTATTTAAATGTTTTATAATTATTTTAAAATGACCATAACTCTTCAGGCGGATGTCTTAATTATCTCAGGAACGATTCTTCCCGTCGAGACATTCAATATGAGGTCTCAGATGTCCAATTCGGCTAACTTCATCTCCAGATACAGTCGAGTACCCCCATGTTTGGTCCTATTGTCCCTGTGCGGGGTGTTTAAATTTATTTAAATCGTGATTATTTTGGCTGGTCCAATTGACTTAAGGTTAGTATCGTTCAACTCTGCTCGTGACCGCCTTTCGCCCTTGGTCCAGCTTGCCCTGCTAAAGATTTTAATCTTGTTACGCCAAAGAAGTATAACTTCTAACTTGCGTACATAAGTACACACACACACTTTTTTTTCCATGTTTAGCTATAAAAATAATGACTAAAATTCAACAAGGAAACACATTTTTAATTCCATACTAACTTTTTTGTTTCCAATAATCTAAGAAACATTAATTTAATAATTAAAATATTTAACATTTTATAAAAGTTTCAAAAATCTTCAAAAATGTTTAATTTTTTAAAAATGTGAAATAATCTGAAAAAAAAACGACTTTTTATTCAATTCCTACTATTTTTTTTTTTAGTTCACACTCTCCCTTTATATATTTATATATCTTGTTAAAATTTTTAATCGTCAGTAAAATACTTTTTATTCATCCACTCAAGTTCAAATGATTAATTATAAATTTTTAATAAAAAGTACTGAAATAAAGTTTTTTTTTTTTTTTGCTAAGACTACACAGGTACCCTTTTTCAAAAAAAAAATTTGGGGGAAAATAACAGTAAAAATAATTTATGTTTTATATTCAAATTATATTATTAAATTGATTCTGAAAGTGAAAAATCAGTTTGACCAGTCATTGCTTACAATTTATAAAAAATCAGAATTTTTTAAGCTTTTTCACAAATTTTTATAAAATACTCAATTCTTAAAATTTTTTAGTCATTTTAAGTTATTAATGTTTCTTAGATTATTGCAAACAAAAGTTAGTATGGATTTGAAAATCTGTAACCTTGTTGATTTTTAATAATTATTTTTCTAGAAAAACCTGGAAAAAACACGAAAATTTTTAAAATGATAATTTAAGCATTTTTAAAAAAAAATAACTAGGAAT